AAACTGTTTCATTAATAAAAATGAATTTAAGCGAGGGACACGTAGACAATAAATGCAGGAACCCCAAGCACCCAGCCCTCGGGCCTCAGTTGATATTCTAGATCCGCTCGTGTTGTTGAACGTATTGAATAGTTCAAGAGTCATGAATAGCTTGAGAAAATTTCAATCATATCAGATACATCTTTACTTTATTTATGTCTCCTTCTTTCTTCGTATATGGTAATAATTGTTTGCAAGCGTTCTGGTGATCATATATAAAGGTATGTTTCTTTCTTTTTTTAATATACCGAACAGCCAATGAACCTATTGGACGGGCTCTGTGTATCGGCGATGGTATTACCAAGAGCCAGTGGCAGCCAGTGGATAATTGCGGACCATTTAGAAATGTCACAGACATTCTCACCGAAATTGCAAAGGTTTTTGGAATTTTCTTTTCAAATTTCGATCATTGAAAAGAGGCTTATTAATAACTTTCATATGTAATGCAATTGTGTTTAGTATATTGTAGATACCACTGATCATGATAACCTGAAAAAAAAAGTTTGATAATTTTTTCTTTTTAAAGCAGATAAGAATAAAATAATCTATCATTGAGTAGATTTCAACCAATTTGGTACATTATTTTTTACCAACTATTGTGTACAAATTTACACAAAAAATATTCAAGTTCCTTTCTTACAGAACTTCTTATTTTGAATGTATCGTTACTTTACATTTAAAAGTATAAAATCAAGCGTAACAGGTAATGAATAGCCCACGGTCGATCAATTCTACTGATTGTTTAAATGTCATTCCATTCACAAATGCATTGGACGATTTTGAGTTCTTAGCATTTGTTTTATCATCTGTAACTTCCAACATCGAAGATATCACATCAAATGACATCAAACTTGTGGCAGAGATAACATCTAACATTGTGCAGCAAAATCTGACTAGTGAAGAGGTATTCTGCACGATACCAGACCAATCCTATTGAACATGAAGTTGCGATGTGGTTGACGAATTTTATTATGTCCCGATAATTATCTCTTGGGGAAAAAAACGATGTCTTCCCTCCGATACATGTATGAAATTGTAATAGATGTGAATGAGGTAAATCCCATAACCGGTTTCAACAACATTGGACACCTGAAAGCTAAACTAGTTATGAATGATGAATTTACAAGAGCCTAACCCCGTATCAGGCTCTTTTTGGAATTTTTGATATAATATTGTATTTGCTCCAATAGAGATTTAGGTCTGTCCTTTCATATCTTTTTGACTTCTTCCAGAAGTTGTGTAACAGCTTTAAAATAATAGCTGTGCTAAGGCTATCATGTTATTCAATACCCCATCGTCATTCAGTTTGATTTCCGAGATTAGGCAACTTTCTCCTATTATATTTTAAATCATCTTCTTCTTTTGTATTTGAATTGACAGGTAACAGAGTCTATAACGAGTATTGTGAGCAATGTAGCTCAGGTAGAAACGGAGGAACTTGAAGCCGCAGAGGAAGAAGGTGGGGCAATAAGTAAATTTGTCCAGGCTTTTGAGGAACAAATCAATCGTGTGGAGGTTGCCGATGGCGGGTTGCTCAACATTCAGCAGCCAAGTGTAGCCGTAAAGGTGATTTTAGATTTATGTCGTAGGCTATGAAAAAACAATTTGATTTCAACCAGTATACTAAAATGAAGAATTTCATGTCCAAGTCAGGCGCGTACACAGGGGGGGGGGGGGGGGGGGGGGGGGGTTAAACTTTGGAATTTTTTTGTGTGTAAACCCCCCCTCCCCCATTACCCCCCTAACCCCCCCCCCCTTTTTTTTTTTTTTTTTTAATTATTTAAAAAAAAAAAAAAAAAAAATATCCCCATGGCTGACCTAAAAAGGTGACCTCACCCCCCCCCCAACAAAGCAAAATGTCAATTCTTCAAATTTCGAGACCAAAAAAAAAAGAGAAAGTGTCCTCTTCCCCCCCCCCCCAACCCCCCCCCCCCCCCCCCCCGCTTATTCAGCGGCTGGCTGAGTCGTTGCGAAATTTTCGGCCCGATTTATAAATGTTAACCCAGTAGTACTCCCAAATAGTACTTTTTCCGAGCAACCTTAAAATAGTTGAAATATTTCTGGTCATGTGACGAGCTCTCAACCAAGCCAATAATTGTTTAATGGAGAATATAATATGGTCTATGTATAGACTTTATGAGAGCTCATGGGCAAATAATCAGTTTCATTTGTGCATTCGAAGAAGTTTTAGTTTGGGCTGATTTTTTTTCTTCATGTCACAGGATATCCATAGACAGGAGGATTCATTTATCAAGGCATACAACATCCTGACTTACATTGGATGCTGTATTTCTATCTTCAGTCTTCTTGTCACATTGGCAACCTACCTGTGGAACAAGTGAGCTCATTGGAAAAAACATGCAATTGTTAATGTAATACAAAGAAGACAGAATACATACTATACTCTAGTCGTTTTATCTTCGATTTTATTTGGTAGCATTTGAATAAAAAATATCACATAAACTGTGAAAAAGATGCATTTATAGAATTTAGTAAATAATCATGCAAATGTAAATACCCTCCCCTTTTTTTGATGAAATTATCTCGTAATCGAATGACTTGTGAAGTACGTATAAACCTACAGCACAGTTCTCTTCGGTATCACTTCTGTTTGAAATAGCCGGGCAGTTGAGAACTACTCTCAACAATGTACAGTTCGTGATAAAAAGAGAAAGAGAAGGGGGAGGAGGAGGAGGGGGAAAAGGAGAAGAGAAACTGCCGTAAAATCATTAGTTGCTTAGTCATGTAGGGCGTGACGAGGTTCATAAATAGGTTACAATATTAATTTGTTTATATCATATCGATATCGTATATTGATATATTATCAACTTCGTAGATCACATCCTCTGCCTCATGGTGTTCTGTTTGCATAGAATAGGAAGCGTATTTAAATCGATTTTTTTTTAGTACGTATATTTCCCATTTGACATCGTCGTGAATAGTTACAGCCGGACTAGTTTTATTCCGCACGCGTCGCCATTCTTATGGTTTTTCCCCCACTAATAGAAGAGATAAATAAGTAAAGCACAATCACGTAATCTCCTTCTTTTCTTTGTTGTTGCTGTTGTTTGACATTTATATTATTCTGTGTTGCTTATGAAGTGATGGCAAGCCTGTAAAATGCATGGTACACTTTAGCTTCGACGCTTTTGCTTTCCTAACCTCATTTCAATGTTACAATCTTGATAGGGATTTGGGTTTGAGGACCAAACAGACTAGTCAGATCTTCATCTGTCTGTGCCTGACCTTGCTGTGTCTCTACACAACATTCGTCGTCATGATCTCTCTGGATTCTATCAGATATTATCGTGAGGTCCGGGCTGGACCTTGTGGGTTACTGACGGCTCTAGTTCACTACTTTGTTTTGTCTTCCATTGCATGGATGGGTGTGGAAGGGTACAATACCTACCTCATGATTGTGAAGATCTTTAACACCTACATCCAGAATTTCATGATCAAGGCTTTCTTCGCTGCGTGGGGTAAGATATTTCTTTCCGTTCCAATAAATTATCAATAATTTATTGCATCCACCCCGGTCCCTAACAGGAAAATTCCTCCGCACGGCCATGCATTATGGTTCAAGGCATGGGCACTCAGAGGATTTTTGTTTCTGTTGGGGACCGTGAGAAAATGCAATGAATTATTGATAATTTATGGCATTTCTTTAAACAAATATTATTTGTGGGGGCTATCCCCTACCCTAGCCCCTGTAGCGTACATTCATGATTCAGTGGCAACGTAATGGCCTCGTTACTGTGAGTCCCCAGGATCAAAACTGTGTCGATGTGCTATATTAGTGCCCTTTTGTGAGGCATTAATCCTCTTTACTGTTATTTATGACTTAAGGACGTAGGTCCCCTAGTTGATAAGCATGCTTTATATAGCAGTCACGCAAAAAAAAAAAAAACACTCGCAAAATGTTATTCAATGAAATCCAAGATTGTATATACTGTTATCTAGATCTATCAGGAATAAATCATTGTCAAAATGATTCCATAAATTGGGGTGAACAAAATTATTCCACCATTATGACCAACAGGGTAGATGTAGGTACTGACAGTATTAGCATAACAATGAGTTTGGCAAGGTGCGGCAACCTGCTATGCTGCAACCAACTCTCAGCAATAAAAAAAATAATGAATGGGCGATCAAACGTAATTCTTTAACTATTAATTTAACACAGGAAATTTTTATTTTCTCTGTTTTCTAATGAATAAAATAATTCCAAAACTCTGGTAGTGTATTATGTTCAATTAACCATACTAGCCAATAGTTATGGAAAGATCATTTTAAGACGGATTATAGTCAGACAGGCATTATCTAACAATGCACATGAATTCGTCATTGTTGCCATTTATGTGTAATTTCTTCATTGTAATTATTAATATTAAATGGTATTAAATACTCGGCATTTCATGTAGTTTGTACAAAGAAGACCCTAAACCCCAGAGAGTATAAACATCAGGATATCTAGTTTATTGTATAAATAATAATAGCGTCGCCATAACCGTGGTAATAACTTGTGAGCTGGACAGCACAGCGATAACATGAGTAGGTCTATCAGAGAAACGGAGAAATGAATGAGCTAGGCACATGTTCAATTTAGGCGTATTGTGAATGACTATAAACATTGTATTTCCTTAAACACATATGTCATTTCAGGAATTCCTGCACTTATCGTGGTTCTTACTGGAGCTATTGCTAGAGACTCTTACGCCCATGATGATCTGTAAGTGGTAACGTTTGAAAGTCAAGCTGGAACATTGGATTGCCTAGCCTAGGGTATACCTAATGATCTTCAAAATTCGGATTCGGCAAGATGAAGTTTCTGTACTCTATTCTAGTGTTTAGGCATTGGGTATATTGGTATCTCATGAGTATTACAATCTCTGATGTTGTTGGTAGCTTATGGATGACAAAGCTTGGACTTGTCAGAATAAATAATGGGAAATCATTTACAATGGCGAGTTAAATGTTTCAAGGACCATGGACATTTTGTATAACTATGGCTAGGATAGTCAGTACTGATTGACTTAATTCAGTCACTTTATAAAATGCATATTTACTATCAACAGCTGCTTTCTACAATTATGGGCTCAAATCGGTGGTCTCCTGATTCCCATGTCCATCATCCTCCTCATCAACATTGTCATCTTCATCCTGGTGGTTCGACAATTGATCCGATCTGCCAACATCGCTGGTCGGATGAAAGGAGAGGCTAAGGTAGAACGCCAAGAGGCTATCGAATTCGTCCAGAATGCAATCTGCATCTTGCTCCTGCTCGGTCTGACCTGGGTCACCGGATATCTGCTTTTGATCCCGTTATTCAGTCAGGTAAAGCCAACTAGCTTCAAGAATAAGTCATTGCGGTATCTATCTCTTCTAAGAAGTATCTTGAGAACTCAGTTATGATAACTACACACAATAGCATTAACTCTTTAGATGTTTAGTATCTTTTGAACATGACAGAGAATGCCATATACCTAATTATTATTTCTGAAACATTTGCGTTTAACAGGTGGCTCAGCCAATCTTCGTCGTCCTGAACTCCTTCCAAGGATTTTTCATCTTTCTACTCTACTGCGTCCGGAAGCCTCACATCCGTACGAAATGGGGGCTAACTTGTTAATGATGATCAGGTTGATTACACCAACAATGATGTTGCCGCCAGTCTCCCTAAGGATGCAGAGGATGACACCAAACACAATGAGAGGAATGATGTAGATGCTAGTTGCACCACCAATTTTTTAAAGGCCAATGGCACAGTTGAGGTTTTAACTATAGCTAAGCACTCATTCTTACTTGTTTTTTTAAAAATGTAAACGAGTTTTTATTCACTTATTTTTAAGCAAGAAGAAGATCTTATTAAGAGAACCTGATGTTACATTGGTACACTAGGCAGGGGAGGAGTGGCCTTGGTGTAGGTTGAACCCCCCATCCCTGTTCTCCGAGTATTTCGCAATTACCAATATTCCGTCACCACATATTGGGGCAAACAAGTGATTGTTATTGGTTATCATCTTTATTATATTTCAATGACGAAATCATATATGTACATTTGTATGCACCTTATCGAATTATTTATGATCAGATGATTAATTTTTTTTTTTGGTGTATTACTCAGAGAATATGTCTTTTCATTGTTAAAAAAGTATGATGGTGATGATGATGGTTCGATGGGTGTTTTTCAATTCATTTTAATAATTTTTAGTCATTAAATGATATATATAATTATGTATATAACGAGCGGAAATTCAATATTAATGGTTGCGTTACTTAAATGCAAGGTCCCCATTGCTATTCTCTTATTTAATTTCTTTGCAAAGGTTGAACAAAATTGTCTCCCCCGGGAATCGAACCGTGTCACAGGCAGAGAACGACAATGTCTTTTAATACCACGAGATCACACAGACGGGCCAGTGGCTTCGGTGATACCAGATTTAATTGACCGACAGATTTGGCAAATCTCATGGAACAATTTACATACAGTCATGTGCCATGGTTGACGGAAAGAGACAAGTGGATAATAAATAATGTAAAAATAATAGGAGATACAAAATATACTAATTTTTTGGCTTTAACCCTTTGTAAAATAATGAAAAATATATGTGTTCTTGAAGTAAACTTGTATACTGTCTATTTAGTTTTACGTGCTTCTCAATTTAGAGTATCTCGGCCAAAATTGATATCACTATATTTTACTCAGAAAAATGTACTTTATTGTAGATTATTTGGGTTGTATTATTTACCAATTTTGTTAAAGCATAAACTTCATTGTTCACGATGTCCCTGAAAAAGGACATCCAAGTTTATCATTAAATTACTCACTGATCCTGAATTAATCTTGGTTAATGTGCACACAAAAGAGAAACTAATAAATTAATTTATAATTTACCTTCATACAGCGCTCAAAGTTAATTGTCTCTAAACCCTATACATGATTAACTTACACTTTCAGGACTCCTTAATCCTCTCTTTCACATGGTGCACCCACAAGCCTACTGTATATTACACGAATTAATGAAGAAATTTTATGTAATAGTCATGACAGGAATGTACGTATAGAAATACGAATGGAAGACAAAAATATATAGGTGCACATGTTCGCAGACACATTCACAAATGACGAAATTAATAACCGCAGGAGAAATACTGTTTCAATTAACTGTGTGAATGTTAGGCATTAAGACTAGCCTTAAAATCATTAAATTGGAAGAAGAGAATAGCATAGAGATATCGACTGCTACGAGAGGTCTGGCTGTTTTTATACGCTCAAGGGAAATTTGCCTCCGCTGCTATCAACCCTCGGCGCGCATGAATTTCCCGAGAGCCACTATAGAATCAGCCAGTCCTTGAATATCAAAGCAGACGATATCCCTTAAACAACATATTAAAAATGATTATAATATACATGTACACATAATACCGGTACACACTATTCAGAATATTGTCCATTAAGTGTTCAACCATTCAAGTGCAACCCATTTCAGCTGTTTAAAATGCATTACTTGAGGCGCCGCTGATCCTTCTTTCTCGCATATCAAAATCATTGATCTAGTATATATCAATGATTTAAATGATTATTTTTCAACCATGTCATCATCTTTAATAGGATTAAAAGGGGCTTCCCCTGATTTTCTGGACCCATTTAGAATTGGCCTCATAAATATGTCCTTATCATCGATTTCGAGAGTACCTACCATAGAGATATTAAGTATATATCTCTATGGTACCTACCAATAACTCAGAAAAGAGTTATCACGAACGCCATCTCTTGTTTAAAACATAACATTCAAATGCAGACCAGTACTATTTCCTTACATCACCCCCTTTCTATCTCTCTCTCTCTTTCTTTCTTTCTCTCTCTCTCTCTCTCTTTCTCTCACACACGCCATCCTTCTCTTCTTTTCTTCAGTCTTTCACATAATTTCCCTCCCTTACCGGTATTCCTGCGAAAAGGTGCCCCTAGTGATCGACCGCCCCTACTGCAATAGAATAAGTGCTCACCTCTTTCAATTTAATGTGCCACACATTTTGTTTGAAGTTTTGAAAGTAAGGTATCTGGTTTTTAGAATAGTGTTTTTATTTGGCATACTTGTTCGAACACACACGCGTTTCTGGTGAGAATCGATAAGTCATGTGTATGTTTAATACTTTATATGCAACAACATACGTTTTTAGGAATGTAAGCACATGTGTGAAATTTTCTGTGTAACCGAGGACCTATCACTTTCCCTTAGGGCATGAAATTAAAAACATTTGCATTGGTTAAGAAACTGGGGACGTTTTTTTTTTGTGTGTGTCCACTAAGTGAATGTACAGTTCTCATGTGTGTCCTTGGTTTGGTACCCTAAACCTTTTTTCTATATTTTTTTTAAATCGATACCTAGACGAGATCACAAAAAAACACACACACAGACAGGCACGCACACACACACACACACACATACACAAACACACGAACGCACACGCAGACCACTTCATGACTCGTGTTCCATTTCCCTGTTTAGTCCTTAACTTTGATAATGGGATTGCCAATGAAACAATTTTCAGTAAATTTCATATAATACGTTTTTAGAGTGCCATTATCTCCTCTTAATAATTCAACATCTTTTTATTAATTTTTCTTTTCCGATGTTCATCAGTGTGAATTATGCAAATGTCTATATCATTGTTTTCCCCATTCATACAGAATTCCGCTAGTCGTCAAAGGTTTATGCACATTCTCATGTTTTTGTAACGCCTGTTCCGTGTTTATACATAGATTGAATAAAATTGAAGAGATTCAACACTCAACCAATTCTCAGAGGAGCCAAAGTTTAACTTACCCTCTAATCTACATAATGCACAATCAGTCGACTGTTTTAAAAAAACGGGCTAACTCGAACCAAAGACAACTCAGCCCAGTTGCAAAAACGGTCAGTTTTTTGCAGGTTTAGGGTTAGGTTTAGGGTAAGGGTTAGAGTTAGGGTTTAAGGGTTAGTGCAAAATGACAAAGAAATGACCGTTTTTGCAGCTGGGCTGAGTTGTGTTTGGTCCGAGTTAGCCCGGATCCTTTTTTTTTGGGGGGGGGGGGGGGTAAGGTCTTTTTTTTTTTTTTTTTTACCCAAACACACACAATGTTTTGTTTTGTTTTAAAAAGATTATTTTTTGACAAAAAGTAAGGGTCGGCTTATCCTCTGATACCAGAACATTAAACAAATTTGAGGGGGGTTAACCCTTAATCCCACCGCCCCCCCCGTCTTCGTACGCGCCTGGTCATAATCATAACTACCAACATCTTCGTCATCTTCATGATCATTTCACCGTCATCATTATCACCATTCCCACAGGCCACCACCACCACCATCAATATCATCATCATCACCACCACCACCGGCACCGCCACTGCTATCACCACCACCATCACCATGCATCTTCATCATCAAGTGCCGGCGGAGCCAGTAGGCAGAGGGGTGGATGGGCACAGTGCCCCTACCTTTTTAAGTATCTATACAGTGTCCCCTTTTACATAGGAATGGTGCCCCCTTTTACTTAAGATAAGTGCCCTTTTTATTTCTTAGAGGTGCCCGTTCTTCTTATTATAAGTGCCTCTTACCACCTCTGATAAGTGCCCCTTGTCACGTCTGAGAGATGCCCAATGTACTTTAACAAATGCCCTTTTCTTTTGTAATAAGTGCCTCTACCCCCTTCTTTTAAGGACCCCTTTTCATATTGGATGAGTGCCCCTTCTCTCTGATGAATGCTCCCTTTTTATTTTGACACATTCCCTCCTTTTCTTTCTAAGAAGTAACTTTTTCTTTTACTTCTGATAAATGCCCCTTCCTTTTTTAACAAGAGTCGCTTCCCTTTCTCACAAAAACCCCTTTTTTTAAATCCTCGCTGAGTGACCTTATTCGAATCTGAGAGGTGTTCCCTTTGACTTTATAATAAGTGCCCCTTTTTATCTTTGATTAGTGCCCCTTTTTATTTTGACACTTGCTCCCTTATCCTTTCTAATTAGTGCCATTTTAATTGCCCCTTTTCATTTCTCATTAATATGTCGGGGAATTTAGAATAATAATAATGATAATATAAAAATAACAATATTAAAGTATTAATAAAAATAATAGTAAGGATAATAATGAGAACACTGATTTTAAGGATGATAATAACAATTATTATTATGATAAAAAATAATGACAATAAGAGAAATAATGATAAACCGTTCTTGAAAAGGGTATATCATATTACGAAATAAAGTCCCTGAACGCTTCTAAAGAAGTTGAATTTAATTACCCTGAAATGAAATCTTAACAAGAATCTTGGTCCCCCAACAATTGTTTGTTTTTCAAGTTCATTGAATGGTTTATTACAAATACTGAAATTATCCGCCCACGAGCTGAATTACATTCAGTTTAAAATAAAAGCACATGAAAAACGTAGCAATATTAAAACGAATATTACATTAAGCTTTGATAGGAGAATACATAAAAAGATAATATTAATAAGATATAATATCGTTCAAAAGCTAAGTATAATCAGCATTGTGATCAAAACTATGACAAGATAGACATGATTTTTTTTGACATCATTATTAATAGTAATAGTAAATTAATATGACCATCTGCATACTACTACAAAGTGCATCTGTATTTCATGAAGGTAAACTTGCCATTAGTATCAATATTGTAATTATTCTACCCTCCCAAAAATAGGCCTGGATTAATATTAAGTCAGGGACGCCAACTTATAAATTTTACACAAATCTTAGCACCCCCAAAATAGACTATAGAGACTTTTTATTTTGTTATGACATGATTAGATATAGTAGACTAATATCACCATCGGTATACTACTAGAAAGAACACCTGCATTTGATTCAAGTATACTTATACTATATTACTATACTATACGTGTAAGGACCATCTCAAAATATAAAAGCGACATGAACTGATTAACTTTCTGCCCCAGCCTGCTGTTTATTGCCACCTCATGGTCAACTTACCAAATATCCAATTCACATAAAGCGGACGGAGGACTCGATGCGAGTACCAACAGCGCAGCGAGGGAAGCACCGAGTGACATGACACTGCATGACATTAAAGTGCAATTTCGCTTTGGCTATATAATGATAATAATAATAATATTTAATTTTTATATAGCGCTTAATACAAATGTCTCTAAGCGCTTTACAAATATACTATTACCCCGGTCATTGGATTCAGTGCTTGCCTGCACACAATGTGTGCACAATCTCCACTCCCTGGGGAGCATTCCAGCCAGGCGTTACATGACGCTCAAAAACTGTTTGACCAACAATGACGGTCGCATCCTACCGTACCCATTTAACACTTGGGTGGAGAGTAGCAAGTGCAGGTTATTATCTTGACAAAGGATATTAGTGCCGTGTCGGGATTCGAACCCTCGACCTTCGCATCTCCAAGTCAAGCGCCTTAAACCACTCGACCACGACACTCCCACATAAACAGTAATGGCACATATACAATCAAACTCCCTCCTTCAAGATCAGTACTAATAAAACTAATCCCACACTTGTTTATCGCAGTTGTAATCCCTATCCTTTCCGAAACCTTGATATTTTACAGGCCTAGCGCTCCCTATATACTATTCATTATAAAAAGAATGAAAACAACGAACAACAACAACGACAAGTAACGGCCTATAATATTTTGACAAACTCGCTACATTATTAACTTCATTTAGAGCTCATGCTATAGAATCAAACTTGTCTTCGTGGCCACCTCTCCATTAAGGCTCCCTGTCTGAAATGTATTGGGCTATTGGCTATGTATTTTGTCTCCCTAGAAACAGAAAAGTGTGTTGTAGAAGCTATCTACAGCTAGTGGCCATTTTTTTTTTTTACATTGAGTGACCTTTCTAGACAGGTATGACTGTTCTTAAAACTCGTTCTGTGTCCTACTTCATGGAATCAATTTTAATTCAGCATCTCGTATACCGGCTCAGTATTCTCATCGGCCACTCCAAAGTTTGATTTCTTGACTCTAGCTGTTTGCTGAACTATTCTTTGATTTCCATATTCTACCCCCTCGATTGCATTCATTTGGCCTCTATCTCCGCGTGTAGTTGCTATGGTGTCATCGTAGGCTGGTTGCTCCATAGTTGTTGCATCTAAGGATGTGTAGGTATGCTCAACTATTGTTTGATATTCATATTCTACCCCCTCGATTGCATTTGTGTGACCTCTATTTCCGTGTCTAGTTGCTTTGATGTCCTCGTAGGCTGGTTGTTTCATAGTTGTTGTATATAACGACGTGTAGGGATCGAGTTCCTGGCCCTCCCTGTCACAGACTGACCGCCTTAGAGCGATGTTAGAGCGTCTGAAATAAAGGAAAAAAATATTATTAGTAAGGTAAAGCGTTGTTTTTTCTAGAAACTGAAAGCCCTGTATCAACCATAATCATTAGTATTACTCTTATTACTACCAGTAGCAGTAGTAATATTATGATGTTATTATTGATGTTGATGATGTCGAAGATGTGGAAAAGGAAAGTCACGTTTCCGACGACTTCCGACGACGTCGGAAAAAGCGAAAGTCGCGATGTGGTAGATAAGAGTCAGGCCTTCTAACGTCGAAACGAAAATTGAAGACGAAGATACGTTGATACGGAAGTCGACGACGACGATATGTGGATTGTGGCGCTGACAAGTGGCGTGTTGCTGATAAGCGGCAGTCTTTCCCTATATAAATAGACTACCTTTTATAATATTTACATGTGCTGGTATTTGGAATATATCCAGGCAAGATTGTATCACGGTTTGGATAAAAAAAACGCTCATTTAAATTATATATTGTTCCACTGTGTCTGGTCTCTCGCAAATCATATTAGAAATAATAGCAAGACTTGGATTGGGTTGTTGGTGATTATAGAACCATCAACACCCCTAATCAACCTTTTGCTAAATTTGAGACCGTGCAGGATACCGACACAAAGGGTCGCTGGTGGAAATACAAACTTGAGTTTGTGAAGACTGAAAACAGAAGGCGATGGTCAAACAACCAAAGTAAGGTTTTCAGAAAAACAGCAAAATAGACATGATGTTAATGGTGGCGCTGACGAATGGCGTGTTGTTGATGAATAATGGCACTGATGAATGGCGTGTTGTTGTTAATGACGAGTGGCAATGTTGTTGATGGATGATGGCACTGACGAATAGCGTGTTGTTAATGAGGAGTGGCGATGTTGTTGATGGATAATGGCACTGACGATTAGCGTGTTGTTAATGACGAGTGGCAATGTTGTTGATGGATAATGGCACTGACGAATGGCGTGTTGTTAATGACGAGTGGCGATGTTGTTGATGGATAATGGCACTGACGAATAGCGTGTTGTTAATGACGAGTGGCGATGTTGTTGATGGATGATGGCACTGACGAATAGCGTGTTGTTAATGACGAGTGGCGATGTTATTGATGGATAATGGCACTGACGAATGGCGTGTTGTTAATGACGAGTGGCGATGTTGTTGATGGATAATGGCACTGACGCATAGCGTGTTGTTAATGATGAATGGCGATGTTGTTGGTGGATGATGGCACTGACGAATAGCATGTTGTTAATGACGAGTGGCGATGTTGTTGATGGATAATGGCACTGACGAATAGCGTGTTGTTAATGACGAGTGGCGATGTTGTTGATGGATAATGGCACTGACGAATAGCGAGTTATTAATGACGAGTGGCGATGTTGTTGATGGATGATGGCACTGACGAATAGCGTGTTGTTAATGACGAGTGGCGATGTTGTTGATGGATGATGGCACTGACGAATAGCGTGTTGTTAATGACGAGTGGCGATGTTGTTGATGGATAATGGCACTGACGAATGGCGTGTTGTTAACGACGAGTGGCGATGTTGTTGATGGATGATGGCGCTGACGAATGGCGTGTTGTTAATGACGAGTGGCGATGTTGTTGATGGATAATGGCACTGACGCATAGCGTGTTGTTAATGACGAGTGGCGATGTTGTTGGTGGATGATGGCACTGACGAATAGCGTGTTGTTAATGACGAGTGGCGATGTTGTTGATGGACAATGGCACTGACGAATAGCGTGTTGTTAATGACGAGTGGCGATGTTGTTGATGGATAATGGCACTGACGAATAGCGTGTTGTTAATGACGAGTGGCGATGTTGTTGGTGGATGATGGCACTGACGAATAGCGTGTTGTTAATGACGAGTGGCGATGTTGTTGATGGATAATGGCACTGACGAATAGCGTGTTGTTAATGATGAGTGGCGATGTTGTTGATGAATAATGACACTGACGAATAGCGTGTTGTTAATGACGAGTGGCGATGTTGTTGATGGATAATGGCACTGACGAATAGCGTGTTGTTAATGACGAGTGGCGATGTTGTTGATGGATGATGGCACTGACGAATAGCGTGTGTTGATGATGGACTATACTGATAATGATGCTCTATACATGCTCTAAAAGTGTCCATGTAATTGGTTCATGTGTCTCTCTCCTAGTTTTCGCACAAATTTGTAGAACCGTCAATAGCGCGTATTCCACCTTCTTTTAACGTTTTTGTTAGTAATTCCCGAAAATGGCGAAATTCATTACTTCTTAACAAAGTATGATTACGTCTTCCAATTTATATCATGATGTAAGGAACCTTTTGGTCTACATGTGCATGCAATAGGTTCACGTCTCCAATTCTTAGTTCTCGCGCAAATTGCAATACCATGTATAAAACTGTCAATAGCACGTATACCACCTTTAGACACGTTTTTGTTATTTTTTCCCCAGATGGCAAAGTGCATAACTTCTCAACATGGTATGATAACGTCTCCCAATTCATATCATGATGTAAGGAACGTCGTGCTCTTCGTGTGCATGTAAATGTAATAGGTTCACGTTTCCCATTTGAAGAATTGCGCAACTTGCAATAATATGTGTAGAACTGTCAATAGCGCATATATCAGCCGCCTTTTTAAGACTGTTTTGTTATTTTTTCCCGGATGGCAGAGTGCTAAACTTCCTAACAAAACATGATGACGTCTCCCAATTCTAACGATGATGTAAGGCATGTCGAACTCTACGTGTGCACGTACATGGTTCGTGTCTCCAATTCCTAGTTCTCGCGCAAATCGCAATACCATGTATAGAACCAGTGGCGGATCCGGGGGGGGGGGGGGGGGGGGGGTGCAAATTGAAATATTTTTGAGGATAAAAAAAAAAAAAAATGTGCTCTTCCCCCCCCCCCCCCCCCCCCCACTGAGCGAATTTTTGGCCGGTGCGTTTTTCAAATTTTCGGGAGCAAAAAAAAAAAAAAAAAAAAAAAAAAAAATTGTGCTCTGTACCCCCCCCCCCCCCACTGAGCGACTTTTCGACCGGCGCGATTTTCAAATTTTCGGGAGCAAAAAAAAAAAATTGGGCCCCCTCCCCTAAGAAATCCTGGATCCGCGCCTGTATAGAACTGTCAAAAGCACGTACATGTATACCGCCTTTTTTAAACGTTTTTATTAGCTCTTCCCCAAAATGGCAAAGTGCATAACTTCTCAACATAGTACGATCTCTTCTCATCTCAATGGTCCCGTAGTCTGGCTGACTGTTGGGGCACCACTGTAGATTTTACAACCAGCTTCCTCAATTCCTCGCGGTTCTCAGCTTTCCGCCGTATGATGTTCCAGTCAAGGCCAGTCCATTCTTTGATGTTGTCTTCCCATCGTTTCTTCTGTCTGCCTCTTCGTCTTCCTCCCCGTACTGTTCCCTGTAGGATAGTCTTGGCCAGTCCAGATAATCGTGTGATGTGCCCGTACAACTTCAGTTTGCGTCTTTTTACTTAAATAGCGTTTTCAACTCTGGTTTTCACTACCTCATTGGTTATGTGATTTCTATACGAGATACCGAGGAGTTTGCGGAAACATCTCATCTCCAGTGCCTGTATCCTTCTTTCAATGTCAGCTGTTATGGTCCACGTTTCACATGCATACAAAAATATGGACATGACCAGGGAGTGCATCAGTCTGATCTTGGCAGGGCCGTAGCCAGAGTTTGATGTTTGGGGGGCACATACATGTTGACGGACGTCCTGGGGAGGGGTCTAAAAACATTCAACCGATCTTGGCTACGGGCAGGCTAAACAACCCCTCCCCCCTTTTGATTATTATTATTTATTTATTTTTTAATTATAAAAATAAAAAAAAATAAAAAAATATTCCCATGGCTGACCTAAAAAGGTGACCTTACCCCCCCCCCAACGGAGCCAAATGACAAATTTTTCAAATTTTGGACCAAAAAAAAAAAAGTGTCCTCTTACCCCCCCCCCCCCCCCCCCCCCCGCTTATTACGCGGCTGGCTGAGTCGTTGCGAAATTTTCGGTCCGATTTATAAATGTTAACCCCCCCCCCCCCCCCCCCCCTTGAAAAAATCCTGCGTACGCGCCTGGCTACGGGCCTGGATCTTGGAGCTGATGGCGATGTTTTTGTCTGTCCAGATGACTTTTAGTTTGGTCACTGCAGCTGTGGTCTGGGCTATCCTGGAGAGTACTTCAAGCTTCAGAGTGTGTATGTACGAAAACGCTTATCGACCCCAAAAGAGAAGTGTGATAACGTCTCCCAACTCATATCATGTAAGGCTTACCGTGCTTTACGTGTACATGTACATGGTTCATGTCTCCCAAACAATTTTATTTTAATATTCACGTCTTGGACGTAAAATACAACAAAATTGTTGCATGGGTAAAGGTCAATTTTATTGATTTTCAAGTCTTGGACGTAAAAGACGAAACCAGCACGGTGCGAGTAAGCACATCAAAACGCGTACAAACATGTACAGCATTAAAGGCATTATGAGACATAATAATAATAATAATAATAAGCTTTACCTTCTATGTCTTTTGCAAATAACGACCACGACAATGATGGCGTTGATGATGAGGAGGCCAGAGACGATGCCAATACTGATATAAATGATGACCTGGTGACCTAGGAAAAAGACAAGAAATTGTTATAAGTGTTGTTACAATTTTTTAGCCGGTATGAGCCACATTAATTTTTTAAATGGCAATTAGTTACCACTGCTATCTATACTATAGTCAATGACGTACGCAGGATTTTTTCAAGGGGGGATTTTAACATTTTGAAATCGGGCCAAAAATTTCGCAACGACTCAGCCAACCGCTGAATAAGCGGGGGGGGGGGGGGTAAGGGGGGGGGGTTGGGGTTTGAAAATATGACCGATCGACATTCCGTTCCGTTGGGGGGTAAGATCATCTTTTTAAGGTCATCCATTAGGATTTTAAAAAAAAAAATTCAAAAAAAAAATTCAAAGGGGGGGGGGGGGTTCCCGAACAACACACACATAAAAAAAACTCAAGGGGGGTCTAACCACCCCCCCCCCTGCGTACGCGGCTGGGTATAGTACACAGACATTTCAAATACCACACAATGATTTTCCTATATAGGGGGCATGGGGCACGGAGACAAGACCCTTTCTTCCTCTAGTTTTACACTGTTTTATATACTAGTACAAACAGATATACCGGGTATAGACTCTAATAATTTTAAGCAACCTAAAGATAAAGACCAGTTATGGTCATGCGATTGCATTGTGAAAGAAACAGCTTGGAATATCGATCAGAAAAGGTGGATCATGTAGCATATAAGTATTGGTGTGTACTGCAAGGTTCTGTAGTCATCAAAATGATAAGAAATTCGGCCCAGTCTTGGTAAAGTAACATGCACTGTACACAGAAAGATGTATATGGGACTTCATAAACAAAAGCATACAAATCGGGCCTCATTTTTAAGCTGTTACTTGTCATCTTTAGAATATGTAGGCATTTGAAGATCCATGATTTTCAGGGAACATTTTTTTCTCTGATGTTCTTCCACACTTGGATAATGAAAACGATAATGCTCACAAAATATGTTTCACCTCTCCCCAGAACTCAACCTTCTCTTTCACTCTACGTATGCTTATATGATGTGTGTATATTGAGGCTATCGTGAAATACAGTTGTATTAAATACCAGAAATACATGTACTGATAATCCTTTCTTTATTTAATTCATCATTCTCCTTTTCACACTTTTTATGATAAAATCGTCAGTAATAGATGATATATTTGCATGTAACCATTTCATTTGCATCCATATTACCACAATTGCTCGAAAATTGTGACTTAATGAGAATTTATTTACCACCCTGCTGCTCTGCGCCAGCTGTCTCAATAACTACCATTCGGTTAGTGAGCCCTTCGCCCTTGGAAGTCACATAAGAGGGTGTAGACGAACTGGATCCTGAATATTAAGGTGAATAAACATGATGCAATGGTAAATAAAGATGTTTATACAGTGTATATATATATATATATATATATATATATATATATATATATATTGGCCGGTCGAAAAACAGAATGAAAACTTTTTTCACCAGCACTTTTTAAATCACTTTACTTGGTAAATGACTTGAATTGTACTTTCGGTATATTGTCGAATTGTATCCGTTTTTTAATCCTAAGCCTAAAGGGGCTCAATAGCAGGCCTAATTAAATGCGCTATATACATAAGTTTTATCATAATTATTGTTAATGTTTATATTATCATTATTGTTGTTGTTGTTAGAACCATTATTAATATTATTATTATTATTGATATTATCGTCAACCAACAGCATCATCATCATTATGGGTGACATTGGAGTGTACAAATCACTTAAATTATCATTTCTGTATTACTAAAAGGTGCAAAATAAACGTTTGACGGGTTTACCAGGTATTCTATAGGTTAAAGGGATAGTTGCGTTTTGGTATAGAGGGCGCTACAAAAAATAATTGTTTTGTGAGATAATGAAAAAAAACTGTCAAATTTGAAACAGCATACAACTTAAATGACAAAATCATCTTTGCTTGATCAAAATAGGTTCAGAAACGGCTTAAATATCCATGAATAAAACATTTTCTAATACTTATGGGGCCCTTAAAATATATACGATCATTTTAAACCAGCCGTTGAAAAAACGAAATAGCACATTAAACGTTTTATTCTGGCCAATGCCAATGTTGGCTTTTGTTTGACTTTTTCATGTTGGTTATAGTACGCACTAAAACCAGCCGGCACGAGTTGTTCACCTCTCCCCAGAACTCAACCTTCTCTTTAACTCTATGTTTACCCATATGATGTGTGGTAATTGAGGCTATCATGAAATAAAGTTGTATTGAATACCAGAAATACATGTACTGATAATCCTTTCTGTTTTTAATTCATCATTCTCCTTTTCACACTTTTTATGATAAAATCGTCAGTAATCGCTGAAATATTTGCATGTAACCCTTTCATTTGCATTTATATTACCACAATCGTACTGGACTTGTGACGTAATAAGTATCTTTTTACCACTCTGCTGCCCTTGGTCAGTTGTCTGAATGAATGTCATTAGGTTAGTGAGCCCTCCGCCCTTGGTAGTCGCAGAAGAGGGCGTAGTCGAACTGAATCCTGAACATCATGGTAAATAAACATGATGCAATGGTAAATAAAGATGTTTAAATAGTAAATATTGGCCAATCAACAACAAAAAATAGACTGAAAACTCATTTGTTCAACAGTAGTTTTAAGATAAGTTTGCTTGGTATTTAATTTGAATTGTATTTTTGGTATTATTGTCCTATTAAATCCATTTCTTTATCCTCTAATTTAGAGGATAAAGAAATGAACTTAAAAAATGCACAGGGACTGAATAGTGATATGAGCTATATACAATTAAAGTTTTTAATTAAAATTATTATCATATTTTGTATCTAGTTGTTGTTGCTATTTAAATTAGTAGTAGTAGTAGTGGTTTTATTAAATATTGTTACATATTGATGACGGCATACAATGAGCCACAATTGTAAAAGCTGCGCATGCGCCATGCGAAATAAACTTGCTTTGGAATCTTATACCAAGAGTATCAAGCGTGTGCTATTATCTGTCTCGATTATTCATCTCAGTACCTTTTGATTAAGAGTACATAACAATCATTATTATTATTATTATTATTATTATTATTATTATTATTATCTTCATCATCATCATCATCATTAATGGCGGCAATGAAGTGTACCAATCACTCAAATAATCATGCCTGTATTACTAAAATGTATAAAAATCAACCTTTAACAGGTTTACCAGGCATTCTATATATTCTATTTTAAACGTTTGAAGAGTATGAAGAACATATTAGTATTGGTTCAAACCAAGTCCGCCTTGGGTTCCGGAAATTGATAAACAAACCTTTCGCCAATCAAAATATTTTAAAAGTGATAATGGAAATACTTGCCTGTACACTTTGGGAGACCATGGTTCCACATAACGGCATGGGTGCTGTTAGCAATACTAACATCTTCTCTGCGACCGTACATCTGCACGCACTGGATGACGCCAGGTCCTTCGAGTGTGTACCCGTCAGAGCAGTTAAAGTATATCTTGCTGCCGTAGCGCAGAGAGCCGATTTCCTTGTATCTGAATCCATTATTAGGGGTACCAGGGTCTTCACAAACACCGAGGCCAACTTGGAAACATAAATTGCAATGAAAACGAATAGTGTCGCATATTTTAAGAATATTATAACAATCATGTGCAATAAACAACTAAACGAGAATGGATAAGCTCAAAAAAACTTTAAAGATAAAATTGAGTTCTGGTCATGCGATTCCATTGTGAAAGAAACGATGTGGAATCGATTAGAAAAGGTTTATCATCTAGCATAAGTATTAGTGTATACTGCAAGTTTCTGGAATCATCACAACGATACGAAATTTGGCCCAGTCTTGGTATTAAAAGTAACAAGCACTGTAGACAGAAAGGTGTATATGGGACTACATCACGCACATGTGGCACAACTCAGAACTCCCAGAAATCGAATTTCGTTAAAAGCCATTCATTGGCAGGAAATTGTAAAGTAAATTATTTGATTTGTTCATATTTAATATTGAATTTTTATACAGGCAAAGTAGTGCGAAAAATGAATAAAGTTATTTTCTCTAAATGACAGTTAATGAATTTTTAGCAGAAGTATTTCTAGGGTTTTGAACTAGCTTGTCAAAATCCTCGTAACAAGCTTTACCTATTAGTGTTCTTATAGTGTTTTCTTTTGGAGGGGGTTAAAAACACCATCGCGAAAAAACATGTAAAACTCATTCTTTGTTTTAATGCAAGAACCCTCAACACCCTCTCCAGTGCCCTATGTCCCTCCCCAAGAGTGCCCTACCCTCATAAAAATGAAAAATAAATTAATTTCCGTATCGTTCCTGGCTTTACCTTGGTAGATGGCGATAAAATCTAAACTCCCACATGATTCAAGGTGATCTCCAGCACAAACATAATAACATTCTCCATCCGAAGCGATTCCATGTTTGACAAGGTTTTCATCTTGTCCTCCGCAGAAACATACGTTCCCCCATTCTACACCTGCGTAGAAGTATCCGTCCTCTGCGCATGCGTTGATGCACAGGTCAATCGTGAGAATATCGATAGAGTCACGGGGGCGATTGGAAAGCACGCGATCTCTGCCGGGTCCTAAACGGTTATAATCACTGAAACATCCAATATAACCTGGTTCTGAATTAAAGAAATAAATGAAAACAATAATAACAATAACACTTCCCGCACAATTCAGCTAGATTTCAAATGGAACCTCGTGTTATTGCTATTACGAATATCGTCATTGCCTTGTTTTCGTTCACATTCTGCCCCATTAATATTCTTCTCCGGATTTTCCTTATCCTTATTGTCAGGAAATCGCATTCGTTTTGCACGTAATGTTTGTTATTCTTAGTTAGGTGCTTTCCTCATGTTCTTTTCCTTTCAAATTTCAGAGGCATAGTCTCTAACATATCATCGAGGTCACTACATTCTTCGATTTTCGAAATTCCTCATGCATATAACCGTCCAGGCACTAATTTTCCGTTTCTGGTCCATTTTAAGTCCTTTCTTTCTTCCTTCATATCTCCACTATCTTTCATAGATCATACATAGTTCTAACAGATTCCTCGTAATAGTCCAGGATATGTTCTTTCATCTGCGACACAATAACCTAACCTTCAAAATGCCATCTTCGCACTGCAAATTCAAATCCGAAACCGACTCCGTCAGAAATCGGCACTTGTTACCCCCCCTCCCCACAAAAAAAAAAATATCACAAAGAAGCATCTGCATTATAAACAAAGGAAAATGAATAAGATAGAACATAAACACGAAACAATTATATGCCGAATTAAACAGATTTTTGATATTATTTTTAAACAATTCAAATTTGAGTCATGAGCACACCGAGGTTATGACACTAAGAGATACAGTAATATTATGGCCAGCAAGGACAATATAAGTAAAAGATACCTTTTTAACTGAGTATTTTAACAATCCACTTTAAATTTACATTTTGTTTGTTTTTTTAATTTTATTTCCGCGTTCAAAAAGGTACAAATTCAAGTTTATAGTACATGAATTTGAACAACAACATATATACATTGAATAAAATGTTTACAAATTTAAAGTTATTAAATAGAAATCATATACAATTATATCAAATAATTAACATTACGAAGCATACGAATAAGATAAGAAATATATAGTAAATATTGTTCAATAAATTAGAGAGGTAATTTAGAACGGAAGGAGACCACCGTCGTGAGCGGTTAGGTTTGAGATGGATGGCGGCCTCATTTTGAAAGATTCAGTTTCATTGAATGTGAATTTAACCGATTATTAGCACCCTGTACAGAAACATTGAGATTATGGATGAAGGTGGCTGCATTGCTTTGGTGAGTTTCAAATGAAGTGATTTTTCGGATATCATCTGCATAAATATGATATCGGAAGGAGTGGTGTTGAAGAATACTATTCAGACCAATTAAATAAAGTAAGAACAGGATAAGCCCTATTAAACTCCACATGTCTGAGGCAAAACAGAATATGAAGTATAACTATTTATGAAGACAGAAAGTCATCCATATGTGAATATTCGTATTATATTCCGTCACTACAAATGTACTTACCAGTGCCAAAAATAATCATGTGGACAACAAATATTTTTTTAAAATCAGAACCAACAACAATATAAGCATACATGCACATTAAACAGTAAACTAAAAATGATAAGCGAACATCGCAACAGTGTTACCTTTGCAAGAAACAGCTCCTATCGATGTATAGAGATCACAGAAACATTCACTGTTGCACGTTTCACATCGCATATTCATCCCATCTGAAAAAAGAATTAATTACAATTCCTTCAAATAAACTCTATTTCCATCTGTAGTATGTTGGTGTTTGGGATTCGAGTATGTGGGTGTTTGGGATACGAGATCGTAGTTAGTATGGGGTTATTATTATTATGATCATTATTATTATCATTATTGTTATCATTATTTTCATCAGTACTATTTTAATAATTCATATTATTATTAGTAGTATCATTATTTGTAGTATTAGTATTAGTAAGGGTATTAGTATTACCTGTTCTCTTTGTATTATTAACGTTATTACTGTCATTTTTTAAAATTATTTTTATTATTACTATTATTTATTAATGTTATTATTTTCATTATATACATATATGTATCATCTTTATGCAGCGTAATAAACAAAGAAGTAAAAATATTTGAATCTTGGTCCATAACACAATATAGTATACAATAGACAATTGTGTCACTGGCAGGGTGTACGATACATATATAACATGTACAATATATGAAACATATAAAGCATATGCAGAAAACAGTTGTTGTTATTGTATAATCTATTTTTCAATCAGTACTGTTCGGGTTTATTATTACACTTACTGACTGAACAGTCTGTAAAATATGTTGATGTATAATTAGTAACTGACATCGGCCACTCATCTTCCTCTTCGTTGAAATCCAATGCCGTAAGATCACGAGAAGTTCCTGGGAAGTTTAGCTGACTACAAACTAAGCTCGCTAGTTCGAAATTCCAATTGTTTTGACAAACGAGCCCCCATCCGATGTCCTGGTTGAAAACCTCAACGATGCCGGCATTGGGTCGATCTTTGGTGATCAATCTGTAGTCTGCAAATATTATTGAGATTATTCTTTTCATAATGTTGTTTGTGTATTTGTGCGTTTGTATACTAATAATAACAATGATAATATTAATAATACTAATAATGATACTACTAATAATAGTGTTGATAATACTGCTACAACTTATAATATCTACATTTATATTGCGCACGTATCCATCCCAAGGGGTGCTCTAAGTAACTAACAAACTAAACAAATAGTATTATTACCCTGGCTTTAGCTCAGCTGCCCTAAGGCGCTAAAAGCATTCAAGGCATAAATTCATACCAGGTACCCATACTTCACCTGGGTGGAGATTGGCAAATATAGATTAATATCTTGCCAAAGGTAATTTGTGCCACGGGGGTACTCGAACCGCGAACCATCTCATCCATAGTCCGCTGACGTATCCACAAGACAGTGACACCTCTCCATCTATCCCACATATTTAAAGGAATGATGATTTACAACCATCTCATACCAGAGGTTCCGGGTTCAATACTTGCTTCGTTCTTACGTTCTTAGTGTGTTTTGCCCACATTCCCTCTCGACCCAGGGGTATTAAATGACTACCTGGTAATGCTGGAGTATTAATAATGGCAGAGCCTCAGGGAGGACAGGGCCATCACTAGGTAGTCTCGTGAAATTAGTCATTAACAAGACCGAATAAAGTTTTTTTAACGGGGTTGCATCCGTTCATTTAATTACATTTTCCTACAAGTCCAGATAATGGAATTCCTGATATCGATAAGTCTAATATTCACTCATTTCCGTGACTTCTAAAAATTCATCAATATAAACAGTATCCTTAAAAGGAGATTAAATAGTGGTTACAATATCCAACATCAAACATTCATTTTCATTTGTTCTTGTAACAAGGACAAACATAGTAATATGCTACCGATGATAATAATGATAATGATATGCCAAATCAAAAAGCCCCCCCCCCCCCGTGTTGACCCTCCACGCCCCCAGCCACGACAAAAAAAAAATCGCCGCCCCTGATAATCAACAGAATTTCCGTACCGGATATGCCTAGCTACGTGTAGGCCTTTGTCGCCTCAAGTAAAGGACCGATGAAACACAACTTCTAAACAGCTATTGAACATTGAATGTCATTGATATCTTACTTAAGCTCGCTTATAGGAGTAAGGCAAATTTGTAGAATTTGTAGAATTTTATTGACTCTTTGACCCCATCTCGGTGTATGAGAGTACAAACAAACATAAAAATATGAATAGCAATGCATGACTTATGAATACAATTCTTATAAATTATACATACATGTAGATGATAAAATATTAAACGATAATAGGTATACAGTGTATGAAAGTACAAACATGAACAATGAACCAACTAGTAAACACAAAGTATATATACAGGTACAATGTAGATAGTGACAATAATAAAATGAAAAGGTATAATGCAGTTTATTTACGAGCTAAGTAGTAAACCTCTCTCTCTCCCCTTGAGAAAAAAGAAAACTAAATATTTCCTTCAATACAAAGCATTGAGGATTTACACACCAAAGAGAGAGAGCATGCAATAGACATGTACCCTGCACTTCCTTATATCTGCATCCAATGTTATACCAAAGAATCTATTCCTTTATGCTTTGCTGTAAATGCTACAAATTAATATAATTCGATCTGCGAGAAAAAAAACACATTTTGTACAAACTTACCTGAAATAGTATAGATCGCCAAACAGGGACTGCTTATAACAATACACAGTAAAGACAGGGTTGAATACAAACTTACGGCCATTTCGGTGTACGTATGTATGTCTGAGTTGAATTCCTATAAGCATTTCTGTTTGCAACCGATATTCGTGAGAGTAGAACCTGCTTTAGAAGAGGAAGTTCTTGAAACACAATATTCCAATGAACACGCAGTGTTATGCGTACGTCATCTAATGTGTTTCACATGAATTCATTTGAAGAAAAAAAAATTCGCGGATAAATCCTACGTATTGTTTTGTATTGTCTGGGAAACGGTATTGGATACTTTAATCTAATTAAACATCTGTGTTCAACAAGAGGAAAGTATAAAGACCCGTGGAATGGGCCATTTGCGCAACGCAACCAAATCAAATGCATGCATCTTCGATAACTGCGTCTTTACATACTTAACCTTACGTCAATTCTTCAAAGTTCATGTCCATATTTTGTAATTGTGATTCATTCAATATTATATGAAGTAGAGTTGCATTATGAAATTTCTTAAATTTCGTTTCTGTTATTTAGTGTTATGCACCTTGAGCATTTATTGGGATTGACTTTTCCTGATGGACTTTCTCTTATTTGCCCTGTAATGAGACTAGGAAGAAACATGATCAAATATTGCTGTGTACTACAGCTTCTTTTGCTGATGAATGTAGGTATCCATGACAATCAAGTGGAACCCACTCCAGCTGTCTATTGCATCACCTAAAGCGCCAATAATACTCCTTTTTTCGCACACTAAAATTAGTGGTCTAGTAAATAACAATGATCCCAGATAACTATTTTTCCACCATGCCACCATTTTTGATACAGTCTGTAGGGACTTCCCCTGGTTTGCTGGAGCGCCATCTCATGTTAAAAACATTACACTAAAGGGGAGGTTACAAGTAACATCGGGGAGGTGAGACTGTCTCACCTCCCTGGTAACATCGATCCCACCCCTTTTTCTTTCTCAGTCTCTCTCTCTCTTTCTCTCTTTCTTTCTCTCTCTCACTCTCTCTCTCTCTCTTTCACATACCTTCCCCCTTCTCTTCTCTTTCTCACTTTCCTTCCTCTCTTTCTTTCTTTCTTGTGCTCTCTTGTCTTTTCCCTCCCTTTCTTCCCTCTCTTGCACTTTCTCTCTCTTCTCTTTCCACCCTTCTCGCCAATTTATCAATTAAAAAGGGATCACTGGCTATCACATAAATCACAATTTATTGATAACTCTGTTGAATAAAATGTTTCAGTAGGTAATTGTATATTCTTTTCTTCTTTCTTGTCTTACTCAGTACACATCAGTAACCGTGGAACGATATTCACGAGAGACACAGTTCACTTTCGTAAACTTTCCTGAATATAATAGTATACTTTAAAATAGTGATCAGAGTAGTCATTACTAAGTATGTTCAACTTGAAATGCTAAGATACAAGAGGGAAGAATATACATGCATACATAACGGCTGAACATGTCTAGTCTTAATGCAAGTGGGAAGGTTTAGTCAACTGCTTTGTGGGGCGCCAAGCATCATATTTGTCATCCCATAAACATATACCAGCTTCCCTTACTCTTTAATTCCTCATTACTTTAATATAATGCTGCTTGTATCATAATGATTATATCTTCCTTGGTACATCTAAATGATATCCTTAGTTGTAGGAATATGCGATATGTAATAAATGTGTATTTTTAATTTTGATTTTTGGAGGGAGGGGGGGGGGGGGTTCAGATGTATTTTTACTTTAACAATGTGCAATATTGTGCGCATATGTCAATGTTATGTCTATATCTAAGTTGATTTAGGAGCAACATGTGAGGGCTCACATGCCTCCGGGTAATAGTGTTAAATTTCACTTTTGTGAGCCCTGGCCCACACGTTGCTCCTTCCCTTTCCTCTTGTATTGTTTATGTATTGCATGATCCGTCAAAATGTAATTGTATTGTGCTTTTATGATTGGCCTAACAAATAAAAATAATAATAGCCATAATTTTGTGTTTGTTAAAATCATTTCAACACCTCTAATATCAAAATGACAATTGAATAAAAGTTTATTAAGGATGCATAACAAAAGAACTGCTATGTGCATGCACGAAATAAAATGAATGTTCGTAACATTTTATCAACGCCAGTAATGCCAGCTTAGAACTATGATGATTTATTTTTCTATCCCCTATCCAAAACAGATTACAGTTGCTTATCTTAGATTATTTTTAAAGATTTTCAAAAGCAATATAACAGCAATTAAATTAGTATCTATAACCTGAGATAATGAATATTTACCATTATTTTAGAATGTGAAAATTTTGCTATCATTCTCCCCCTAAAATATACATGGCTTTACAAAACATATGAATCCTGCCATTTTAAGGCTAAATTGAAAATCTGTGGTCAAAAGGAGGGAAGTATAGTACCAGTGGCAAAGGCTATTTTCGTAATGTAATCAAACTTAATACATTCGTCTTTGTCTTTAATGTCCAATTCTTTCAGTTAATATATAAACGTTACTCATCTTGATCCATTCAATATTGTATGTAGAAGGTTTGCCTCTTGTTATATACTTGTATGCACCTTGGGCATTTCTTTGGATTTATTTAAATTTTTTTTTTTTTAAGGTGCATACAAATGTACATATATGATTTCGTCATTGAAATATAATAAAGATGATAACCAATAACAATTACTTGTTTGCCCCAATATGTGGTGACGGAATATTGGTAATTGCGAAATACTCGGAGAACAGGGATGGGGGGGTTCAGCCTACACCAAGGCCACTCCTCCCCGGACTATTGTGCCAATGTAACATCAGGTTCTCTTAATAAGATTTTCTTCTTACTTAAAAATAAGTGAATAAAAACTCGTTTACATTTTTAAAAAATCAAGTAAGAATGAGTGCTTAGCTATAGTTAAAACCTCAACTGTGCCATTGGCCTTTGAAAAATTGGTGGTGCACAGGCGCGGATCCCTGGGGGGGGGGGGGCCGAGCGGGCCTTGGCCCCCCCCCGCAAAAAAAAAAATAGAGAGAGAAGAAAGGAAAAGAAGGAAAAGGGAAAGAGGAGAAAAAGGGAAAGAAAGAAGAAGAACAAAAGAAAAGAAAAGGGGGAAGAAGGAAATCGGGGGGGGGGGGGACCGAAAGGGCCTTGCCTCCCAGGCTGTTGACCCCCCCCCCCCCCAATTAAAAAAATAGGAGAGAAGGAAGGAAAGGGAAAGAAATAAAGGAAAAGAGGAGATACTGGCGTACTAATAGGGGGGGGGGGGCTTTGGGGAAATCTAATTCCACAACGATGGATTACAAATAATGCTGAAATGACATAATTTCCGAGATTTGTCCTCATTTTTTAGTAAATTATACGTTTGTATATGTGTTTGTTGGAAAATGACAAATCCCTAAATTTACATCCAGGCACGAAATATGATTCTTGAGATTCCTACATGTCAGGGCCCGAGGTACGGCAGGGATCGGGAGCCTCGAGCTCCCTCCCCCCCCCCACTTTATTTGAAAAAGTATATTAAAGAGAAAAAAAATAGAATGAGAGCAAGAAAGAAAGAATAGTTAACTGCCAGTGTTAAAAAATGAGGCATCAAAATATGCTCATCTGACCGTGATTACATGCCTAAAACCCCTGAGCTTCCGGGAGCTCTGCCCCCTGGATTCCACCTAGGGCGCTACGGCGGGCCCTTAGATGCTCATCTGACGGTAATTTAATGCCTAAAACCCCTCTTTTGGGGGGGGGATCCACCCCCTGGACCCCACGCCAAATAGTGACCTGCCAGTGTCCCAAAATAATAGGTATTAAAAAAACGATCATCTGACCTTAACTAAACGCCTAAAACCCCTGAGCTTCCGGGGCCAGACAAGTTATCAAAATGTGTTTATCTGACCGCAGGCGCGTAGCCAGGGGGGGGGGGGGGGGGGACGTAGGAAGTAAAGGAGCAGACAAAGAACATCTTTGAAATTCAGACAAGGATTAAGAGTATAGAGAACGGTACAACGCATCGTCTTCTTTCTCTAATAATTTAATGAAACGTCAAAGCTTCGCGCAGGAGGGGAGGGGGGGGGGGCTGAATTCAGACAAGGATTAAGAATCGAGAACGGTACAACGAATCGTCTTCTTTCTTTAATAGTTTAATGAAACGTCAAACTTCCGCGCTTCGCGCAGGAGGAGGAAGGGGGGGGGGGGACTGAATTTAGACGAGGATTAAGAGTCAAGAACGGTACAACGAGTCGTCTTCTTTCTCTAATGATTTAATGAAACGTACAACGAGTCGTCTTCTTTCTCCAATGATTTAATGAAACGTAACTTAAGCTTCCGCGCTTCGCTCGGGAGGGGGGAACCTGAATTCAGACGAGGATTAAGAGTCGAGAACTCAACAACAAATCGTCTTCTTTCTCTAATAATTTAATAAAACGTAAAATTTTCCGCGCTTCGCGCGGGAGGGGAAAAACTAAATTCAGACGAAGATTAAGAGTCGAGAACGGTACAACGAATCGTTTTCTTTCTTTAATAGTTTAATGAAACGTCAAAGCTTCCGCGCTTTGCGCAGGAGGGAGAGGGGGCTGAATTTAGACAAGGATTAAGAGTCGAGATTTCTCCAATGAATCGTCTTCTTTCTCTAATAATTTAGTAAAACGTAAAATTCGCGCGGAAGGGGAAAAACTAAATTCAGACCAGGATTAAGAGTCGAGAACGGTACAACGAATCGTCTTCTTTCTTTAATAGTTTAATGAAACGTCAAAGCTTCCGCGCTTCGCGCAGGAGGGGGAGGGGGGCTGAATTTAAACAAGGATTAAGAGTCGAGAACTCTCCAATGAATCGTCTTCTTTCTCTAATAATTTAATAAAACGTAAAATTCGCGCGGAAGGGGAAAAACTAAATTCGGACCAGGAGTAAGAGTCGAGATCGGTACAACGAATCGTCTTCTTTCTTTAATAGTTTAATGAAACATCAAAGCTTCCGCGCTTCGCGCAGGAGGGGGAGGGGGCTGAATTTAAACAAGGATTAAGAGTCGAGAACTCTCCAATGAATCGTCTTCTTTCTCCAATAATTTAATAAAACAAAAAGTTAGCCGGAACCTGAAAAACTAAATTCAGACCAGGATTAAGAGTCGAGATCGGTACAACGAATCGTCTTCTTTCTTTAAAAGTTTAATGAAACGTCAAAGCTTCCGCGCTTCGCGCAGGAGGGGGGCTGAATTTAGACAAGGATTAAGAGTCGAAAACTCTCCAATGAATCGTCTTCTTTCTCTAATAATTTAATAAAACGTAAAATTCGCGCGGGAAGGGAAAAACTAAATTCAGACGAAGATTTTGAGTCGAGAACGGTACAACGAATCGTTTTCTTTCTTTAATAGTTTAATGAAACGTCAAAGCTTCCGCCCTTCGCGCAGGAGGGGGAGGGGGCTGAATTTAAACAAGGATTAAGAGTCGAGAACTCTCCAATGAATCGTCTTCTTTCTCTAATAATTTAATAAAACGTAAAATTCGCGCGGAAGGGAAAAAACTAAATTCAGACCAGGATTAAGAGTCGAGATCGGTACAACAAATCGTCTTCTTTCTTTAATAGTTTAATGAAACGTCAAAGCTTCCGCGCTTCGCGCAGGAGGGGGGCTGAATTTAGACAAGGATTAAGAGTCGAGAACTCTCCAATGAATCGTCTTCTTTTTCTAATAATTTAATAAAACGTAAAATTAGCGCGGAAGGGGAAAAACTAAATTCAGACGAAGATTTTGAGTCGAGAACGGTACAACGAATCGTCTTCTTTCTCTAATAATTTAATGAAACGTCAAAGCTTCGGCGTTTCGTGGAGGAGGGTGGGGTAAACTCGCCCCTCCCTGCACAGACCCCCCCCCCCGCATTACGTCACTGTTGGTCACCATTACGTACCAATATTTGGCTCCCATAATTTCAAATTTGGGCCCCCCCCCCCCTAAGAAATCCTGGATCCGCGCCTGGTGGTGCAACTAGCATCTACATCATTCCTCTCATTGTGTTTGGTGTCATCCTCTGCATCCTTAGGGAGACTGGCGACAACATCATTGTTGGTGTAATCAACCTGATCATCATTAACAAGTTAGCCCCCATTTCTTACGGATGTGAGGCTTCCGGACGCAGTAGAGTAGAAAGATGAAAAATCCTTGGAAGGAGTTCAGGACGACGAAGATTGGCTGAGCCACCTGTTAAACGCAAATGTTTCAGAAATAATAATTAGGTATATGGCATTCTCTGTCATGTTCAAGAGATACTAAACATCTAAAGAGGTAATGCTATTGTGTGTAGTTCATAAATGAGTTCTCAATATACTTCTTAGAAGAGATAGATACCGCAATGACTTATTCTAGAAGCTAGTTGGCTTTACCTGACTGAATAACGGGATCAAGAGCAGATATCCGGTGACCCAGGTCAGACCGAGCAGGAGCAAGATGCAGATTGCATTCTGGACGCGTTCGATAGCCTCTTGGCGTTCTACCTTAGCCTCTCCTTTCACCCGACCAGTGATGTTGGCAGATCGGATCAGTTGTCGAACCACCAGGATGAAGATGACAATGTTGATGAGGAGGATGATGGACATGGGAAACAGGAGACCACCGATTTGAGCCCTTGATTGTATAAAGCATCTGTTGATAGTAAATATGCATTAAAGTGAAGTGACTGAATTAAGTCAATCAGTACTGACTATCTTCGCCATAGTTATACAAAATGTCTATGGTCCTTGAAACATTTTAACTCGCCATTGTAAATGATTTCCCATTATTTATTCTGACAAGTTCAAGCTTTGTCATCCATAAGTTACCAACAACATCTGAGATTGTAATACTCATGAGATACCAATATACCAAATGCCTAAACACTAGAATAGAGTACAGAAACGTGTTTTTGCCGAATCCGAATTTTGAAGATCATTAGGTATACCTAAGGCTAGGCAATCCAATGTTCTAGCTTGACTTTCAATCGTTATCACTTACAGGTCATCATGGGCATAAGAGTCTCTAGCAACAGCTCCGGTTAGAACCACGATAAGTGCAGGAATTCCTGAAATGACATATGTGTTTAAGAAATACAATGTTTATAGTCATTCACAATACGCCTAAACTGGACATGTGCCTAGCTCATTCATTTCTCCGTTTCTCTGATAGACCTACTCATGTTATCGCTGTGCTGTCCAGCTCACAAGTTATTACCACGGTTATGGCGACGCTATTACTATTTTTAAAATGAATTGGTTTTCCAGATGTTTATACTATCTGGGGTTTAGAGTCTTCTTGGTACAAATCACATGCCATGCCGAGTACCATTTAATATTACTAATTATAATGAAGAAATTACACATAAATGGCAACAATGACGAATTCATGTGCATTGTTAGATAATGACTGTCGGACTATAATCCGTCTTAAAATGATCTTTCCATAACTATTGGCTAGCATAGTTAATTGAACATAATACACTATATGTGTATATAATTATGTATATAACGAACGGAAATTCAATATTAATGGTTGCGTTACTTAAATGCAAAGTCCCCATTGCTATCCTCTTATTTAATTTCTTTGCAAAGGTTGAACAAAATTGTCTCCCCCGAGAATCGAACCGTGTCACCGGCAGAGAACGACAATGCCTTTACCACTAGATCACAGAGACGGGCCAGTGGCTTCAGTGATACCAGATTTAATTGACCGACAGATCTGGCAAATCTCTTGGAACAACTTACATACATGTGCCATGGTTGACGAAAAGAGACAAGTGAAGAATAAATAATGTAAAAATAATAAGAGATACAAAATATACTAATTTTTGGCTTTAACCCTTTGTGATATAATGAAAAATATTGTGTTCTTGAAGTAAACTTGTCGTTCCATGATTATACTGTCTACTTAGTTTTACGTGCTTATCAATTTAGAGTATCTCGGCCGAAATTGATATCACCATATTTTACTCAGAAAAATATACTTTATTGTAGATTATTTGGATTGTATTATTTACCGATGTTGTTAAAGCATAAACTTCATTGTTCATGATGTCCCTGAAAGAGGAGACCCAAGTTTATCGTTAATTTAGTCAATAATCCTGAATTAATTTTGGTTAATGTGCACATAAAAGAGAAGCTAATAAATAAAAACATAATTTACCTTCATACATGATTAACTTACACGAATTAATGAAGAAATTTTATGTAATAAACATGACAGGAATGTACGTATATAAATACGAATGGAAGACAAAAATATATATAGGTGCACATGTTCGCAGACACATTTACAAATGAAGAAATTAATAACCGCAGGAGAAATACTGTTTCAATTAACTGTGTGAAAGTTAGGCATTGAGGCTAGCCTTTAAATCATTAAAATGGAAGAAAAGAGAATAGCAGGCTTTTACATGATGAGTTTCAATAGTTAATATTCCCAAATCATTTGTCTTTCAAAACAACCATTATTGTCTCTTTTCGTTTTTCTGTCAGTGCCGATTTAGACTGTCTTAAATTGGTCATATGTGATTTAATAAATCTTATTCTTATTGTCATATCATAGAGAGAAAATGAGCTTTTTAGGGATGTATACATTTAATGATAACAATAATTTTGGATTATTTAGTAATTTACAAATATAAGCTTCGGTTTCTCTGTTCAGGGACAACTTGTATTGTAGCTCGCTTCAATGTTGGATTGCTTGGTTAATTTCCGATACTGCTGAAACAAAGCATGACAAATTAGAACATTACTGTAAATATCAATTTCATTATCGTGCGCAACAATAAAAGTATGAAGCAAGCTTAGTAATAGAGTAAATCATGGAGCTGGCATTCAAACTGTTTTCATTAATCGTTTTTAATCAATTATTTCATATTCATATTTCAGATTTAAAAACGTGTACAATATTAATTATTCTTTACAAAGCTGTCAAAGCTAGCAAAAAGAGAAATAACAAGAAAACCTAAAACCCACGAGATCGATATCATAATCTAAAAACAATAAAAACACATTCATTGTCGTGTACAAGCATAGCGCCGGCCAGTAGTTTATCCCAAATGATCCAGCGGAAGGGTAACGGAGAAATTTTAGCGCATGCGCAGAATGTAACCACGAACTCGCATATATATTGACAGGTATTGTTTGGAAAGTTTCAGGAATCCAAAACATGCAAAAGACAGAATTTATCCGATACACGTGCGTTACTTGGTTTAATTACAAACGGTTAGTGGGGAAACCAAACAATTTAGCGCCCACTGTGGCGGAGATTTGAATCTCTTGAATTTCTTTCAATCTCTGTAAAAAGACAGAACAGATATTAAAAACAGGAGAGGGTGTAGAAAAATTTGATGACTGACGGAGTTCTGTTAGAATGTGTAATTCACAATGATGAAAATCGGTAGAGGAAAATGAATAAAAAGATGTTTAATTATCAATAGGCAATAATGGCAGACTGAAAATGTATTATTTAAAATGAACTGAAAATTATTTCATCAGAAATTAATTATCAAAATTGAGGAATAAACAGGTACTAAATGAAACACGAGTCATGAAGCTCATAAGTAACTCCTATACTATTGTCGTGAGTGGGAGTGTATCCTGTGGGTGTGTGTGTGTGTGTGCGTGTATGTGTAAATCCCGTCTAGGAATCAATTAAACAAATATGGAGAAAAAAAGTCTAGGGTACCAAACCGAGGACACACACGAGAACTGTACATTCACTTAGAGGACACAAAACAAACCCAAGTAACATACATATGAGTCTTCGTTTCTCACCAGAAATGGTGTGCGTTCGAAATAGTATGCCAACTAAAAACAATATTCTAACCGGATACCTAACATTCAAAACTTCAAACAAAATGTGTGAATTTTACAATTCAAGGGTATTCAACATTCAATAACTTCTGGCCGAGGGGACCGAATGTTCAAAACGTCCACGACATTGACAATGCAATGACTTGACGAAAGATTTTGTTAAAAGATAAGAATATGGAAGAATGATAGAAAGAGAATTGAGGAAATATAGTAAGAGGGAAAAAAGTAATTTAGTATATACCTTTAGAGAAACATATAAATGTATAAGCATAAAGGTAAAGCACAGATTAAAGTCAACTTAATATGACACACGTCTATTTCCATTCTCGTGTTTTTTTTCTTCTCTGAAAATGAATACATTGCTAATGATTAAACAGTATAACTCGAGCAAAAATCCGCACCCAAGCCATCACACATCTATTCGAATGAAGCTAATTTGGCCTCTTCATACTGAACGATCATTAATTATTATTATTAATAAAAAACAAGAGATAGAGAGAGAGAGAGGGAGAGAGGATACATTTTTAAAGCTAACTATGGAGATTTGACCCTATAAATATATCACAGAAAATTCAGTTTTTCATGTAAGGGGTATAAAAGCAAGGGCGCATTAAACTTAAAGAGGGAAGCACTTATTTTATTGCAGACGGGGCGTTCGATCACAAGGAGGGGCACCTTTTCGCAGGTACACCGGTGATAACAGCGGAGAGAAAGGAGGGAAAGTATGTGAAAGATTGGAGAAAAAAGGGGAAGGATGGCATGTTTGGGAGAGAGAGAGAGAGAGAGACGGAGAGAGAAGGGAGGAAGGGGGGGGGGGGGTGATTTAAGGAAATAGCGCTAGGTGATCGAGCATTTGCTTGTGCAGCCCCCACAACTCTGGAATAACTTACCATTTTAAGTCAGGAAATTACCATCTGTAAATATCTTTAAATCAAAACTGAAAGCACATCTTTTCAATTAACTGTAAATCTAAGCATATCAGGAGCTCTTGTAGCGCAGTAGAATATATACTTAATGTTGGATAGTTTTTGCGCTCTATAATTGTATTATTATTATTATTATGTTATTTATGTTTGAAGAACGTAAATGTGTTCAAGTCGATACCTTGATATTGACGTGATTTTCACGTGAATTTGTTTATTGGGCATGTACATTCTTCCCTCTTGTATCTTAGCACTTCAATTTGAACATACTTAGTGGTGACTACTGTGATTGCTATTTTAAAGTATATTATTATATTCAGGAAAGTTTACGAAAGTGAAATTTGTCTCGTGTGAATATCGTTTCACGGTTACTGATGTTTACTGAGTAAGAAAAGAAAGAAGAAAAGAATTATTCAATGACCTACTGACATTTTTTTTTCAACAGAGTTATCAATACATTTGTGGTTTATGAGATAGCCATTGATCTCTTTTTACATGATAAATTAGCAAGAAAGATGGAAAGAGAAGAGAGAGAAAGTGCAAGAGAGGGAAGAAAGGGAGGGAAAAGACAAGAGAGCACAAGAAAGAAAGAAAGAGATGAAGGAAAGTGAGAAAGAGAAGAGAAGGAGGGAAGGTATGTGAAAGAGAGAGAGAGAGAGAGAGAGAGAGAGAGAGAGTGAGAAAGAGACAGAAAGAGAGAAAGAGAGAGAGAGAGAGACTGAGAAAGAAAAAGGGGTGGGGTCGATGTTACCAGGGAGGTGAGACAGTCTCACCTCCCCGATGTTACTTGTAACCTCCCCTTTAGTGTAATGTTTTTAACAAGAGATGGCGCTCCATGAAACCAGGGGAAGTCCCTTCAGACTGTATC